CAGCCTCGACCTCCCGGGCTAAAGCGATCCATCGGCCCACCTCAGATCTGGCTTTTGTTTTCACCAGTGAAAAGTTAACTGGGAACATTTGTGTAGGAGAGATGCCTTTTTTCTCATAACAGAAACTATAGCTATTTTCTTTTTTGCTTATAGTACTTTTGGGTTATTCTGGAAAAATCTCTGCGATGAGTAGGTAGTAAGGGTAGGAAATGTGAGATTAACACATCCGAACAAGGAATTTCCTGGAACCTAAAAGTGGCCCTGAGGGTAGACCAGCAATAATGCCCCATTTTCCTTCCCGTCGATGTATGTATCTTATATACTCTGTATTTTCAGGGTTTTTCCCTTGGCTCACCTTTATTTTGCCCCCTCCCCTTTAAATGTCTCTTTAATAGTCACTTTGTAGAAACGTCTTAAGTATCTTTTAACAGCTGTTACCTTTCCTTGCTTCTGATTTTGGTAATTAAAAAATCTTTCTAGTTCATGAATATTTTGGTAATTTTGATCGTGATTACTGACAATTTTCAGACATGTGTAGCACAGTAAGTGAGGGAAATGAATCCTTGGAGAGAACCTCTTTATGGAGTCTAAGATTAGCCCCATTAGCTTGAGTGGTGCCTTCTCTTGCCGAGTGAGTGAGTTTAAGGTTAAAACTGAGTATAGCTCTGCTGATAAACTCTACCAGGATTGAGAGGGTTCTCAAAGTTGAAATGGATTTTAAGACTCACTGAAAAGAACCCCTTCCTTTTGTAGCTAAAGAAACTGGGTGGGGCCTGGCGATGAAGATCATGGTCCACCTAGTGGCAGAGTGTGGACTGGTACCTTTAACCTGGCCTGAATTCTTCCAGTTTCCAGTGGCTAGCCATCATTTCCAGTATATTAAGTGGACCAAGACTGTGTGAGTCAGGACACATAGTGTGTCCTGGGAGATGTATTGGAAAACTGGAATAAACTTAAAAAATTAAAATTGTGTGGGGCATGGTGGCTCACACCTGTAATCCCAGCACTTTGGGAGGCCAAGGCAGGATCGCTTGAGTTCGGGAGTTCAAGACCAGCCTGGGCAACATAGTGAGACTGCATCTCTACCAAAAAAAAAAAAAAAAAAAAAAAAA